CACGGGCTGGGATCTACCTGGCTGGGGAGCAGCTCTGTGCAAAGGGACCTGAGGGTCCTGGTGGACAGCAAGCTCAATATGAGTGTCAGTGTGCTGCTGTGGCAAAGAAAACCAACAGGATGCTGGGTTGCATCAACAAGGGCATCATCAGCAGAGAAAACCAAGTAATTGCCTCACTCTGCTCAGTGCTGGTCAGGCCACACCTCAAACACTGCATTCAGTTTTGGTCCCCACTGTACAGAAGAGCTGTGGACAGGCTGGAGAGGGTCCAGAGAAGGGCCACAAAGATGATCAAAGGCCTGGGAAGCCTGCCGTATGAGGAAAGGCTGAGAGAACTGGGTTTGTTCAGCCTTGAGGAAAGAAGGCTCAGGGGAGACCTTATCACCATGTTTGAGTATTTAAAGGGTGGCCACAAAGAAGATGGAGACTCCTTTTTCACAAGGAGTCGCAAGGAAAAGACGAGGGGCAATGGGTACAAGTTATCCCTGGAGAGATTCTGATTGGACACGAGAGGAAAAAGTTTCACAGAACAATCAGCCATCGGAATAATCTCCCCAGGGAAGTGGTGGATTCCCCGACACTGGACACTTTTAAGACTCAGCCAGGCAGGGTGCTGGGCCACCTTGTCTAGGCTGTGCTTTTGCCAAAAACGGTTGGACCAGATGATCCTTGAGGCCCCTTCCAACCTGGAGTTCTGTGATTCTATGATTTTTCATTGTTGCAAAGCAATCTCCTCTGTCAAGTGGAAGTCACTTCACTTCCTAAAACTTGCTAAAATAGTAGGCAACTATTTTGTTCTCTTTAGTTGTTCTTTGCTTCTGCATTGGTGGTTCTTTTTTAATTGGGAGAAATTAGACACAAAAATTCTAAAATAGTCATGCATCGTGCAAGCTTGAGATTGTGTTCCTGCTTTGAAAAGGAAGTTGGTTAAAATAACATGCTGTGATAAACAGTAAGCAATTTCTGTATTCATTAGTTATAATCATCAGAAACTGGAGGAACTAAGTAAACAAAGACCTTTGTTTTGTTCAGATTTCAATTTGAGAAAAGCTGGCTTAAACAGATTACTTTAAATTGTGAGTAAAAAACAAGCTTGCTGCTTCTTGGACCAGAAGAGTGATAGCATAGTTAGGAAAAAAAAAAAAAAGTGATAGCAGATTTAAGAACAAACACACAATAAAATGATAAAATGGATCCTAATAGCACATCCTATAATAGCAAAATAAGGCTTATTGCAGCAAAACTGTGTTTAAGTTCCTAGGAACAGAAGATCTGTGTTCAGGAGATTTTTTTTTTTTTTTTAATTGAATGGAGGATTCTTGAGCCATTGAGGCTCATTTAATAAACTCTGGAATGCTAGAAGAATGAGGGGACAGGCACAACTAATGATGTGTTTTATTTAGAAAACCTAAACAGGATGACTGGAGTAACTGTGGCTGTTAGTCTGAGATTGATAATTAAAAGAATTCTAGGCTGAAAGGCCTCAAAAATGCATTGTACAAAGAAAGGTGCTATAGTGAACATCAGCCAAGACTTTTAATGGCAAGTGAGTCCAAAATACACTTAAGTCAGGATTTGCCTGTAAGGAAGCCTTTTACTTTTTCTAAAAAACCCAAACTAATTAGTAAATCTGAGCGTTGAGGTTTTAAAGCATATAATGACTAGTTAGTTTGGTCTAGCAGACTTTTTCTTGAATGTGGTCAGTTTCTTTCTAGATAATCAGAATATGTGGCTAGGATTTGCAGGTGGTTTGCACAGAGGAGTAGATGTGGAAGAAAATGATCAGGAACTTCTAGGAATAGTGACTTACATGAACTTAATGGGAATTTTAAAATTTCCAAATGTTTGTCCTTTGTCCTGAAAGTGAATTTCTGTGATGTGGAAAGTGGACTCCGAAAGGAACCTAAGGCATCTTGGTGGTAACCGACTGACCGTGGACTTCCATTCTACCAAAATAATGAAAAGCTTAATCCATAGATGTATAGGGGATATCAAATGGAACTAGAGAAATGTTAGGCATTTCTGTATGGCATTGAGTATGATGTCCTCTGCTGCTGTCGACACCTAGAGAAGTGTGATGACAGATTTCAAGTGGTCTTGAAAACCCGCTTTGTGGCTTGTTTGTTATTTTTTTCAAAGCTACTTTGGATTTGAGAAAAGGAAAATCAGCCTAATTCTTTTTATCAGGGATGGTGTCAAGCGATTAGATACAATCTGAAAATACATAATATCTAGCTCAAATTATTTGTTTGTTCTTTAATGTAGCAAACAGACCTGACAATGTGAACGGTCAGGTTGGAATTGGTATGTATTTTAACACTGAAAGTAATTTTCCCAACAATTTATGGGACAGTATAGTGTGTTCTTTGACCCTTCCAGTCTTTACATAAAGTTTATAGATATGAATAGCTGTCTAGTTCAGTCAGAAGTCTAGATGTGACTTAGGACTCTGGAGATGACATTCTGTGATGCATATTATGCACTGTTTCGTGTTACCAATTGAAGATTGTTCCAAATTGTCCTCAGCCAGACTTGGGTGACTCTGCTGCACAACTAGAGAAATCGGGGATTGTGCTGCTGCATCAGATGAAGCAGGTGTTCATCTTAGTTGTGACTTTGAAAGTGTCAGTCTTCCTGGCAGTTTCATGTACATGTCCGAATGGTAAGGAACTGACAACAGGAAGCCAAAAAGCTTCTTTGGGATCATTAACCTGAGACAGTCTTCTTGCAAACAAATGTTCTTGCAGTTTAGCATCTGTGCCTCACTTCCCTGTCTGCCTCACGTAATACACTGGTCTTTCTGGGGGTGGACACTCTGTTTAGATGAGTAATCCTGTGTAGAACTGAATTAGCTTAGTTCCATCTTGCAAAGCTTTGTCATCATGTGGTGAAGCCATGAGGAGTTCCTAGTAAGGGAGAAGGCAGAAAGTGAGTAAGAGCAACTGATTCTAAGTTAGTGATCACATTGTAGTACGTGGGGATGAATTCCAGTGGTGACGTTCTCTACACCTTTAGTTTTGTGGTGTTAAAGGTAAATGAACCCCTTTTGATATGGACTGAAAACAGTAACAATATTAAGTGATGCCACATAACGCTTACAAATGGTACCTGTTTGCTAATGTACTGCACAAGTAAAGTTTTCTCATAAATTGTGTGCTAACTGCAAGTATTTTAACATCTTGGTAAGCTTATGTTCTTTGATTTGGACTTTTTAGAAGTATACTGACAGCTTTGTATTTAGAGAGGACCCTGGTTTTACACAAAAAGGACAAAGTAGCTCTTTTTTGGAAAAGACATAGCTGACTTCCCCTTATACATCAAACAGAAGTGTAATCTGATTGCGCATAAATAGTTCAAGTAATATTACAGCATCTTTTTCATGATGCTTCCCTCTCCCCCACACTAGTGACCTTTAAAAGTTTTTGTCAGAAGGTGGTTTTGAGGTGTGTTTTTATTTCTGAAGAGACATTGAATGTTACAAGAAAAAAATCGTATTTAACTTCAAATTGTTGTTCTCCTTTCTGCCCCAAATACATACACCCTTACCGTGTGAAAGTATGTAGGCAATAGCTCTGGAATAGGTTGTTGCTGTGTGGTGGGAGACTGTTCTCATTTATTAAAGCAGTTCATATGTTCAGGATTGTCCTTGCTTCTTATAGTTCAGCTGTACTCATTTTTCAAAGCAATAACCTAATTGCTTGTACTAATTAAAGCATGTTAGCAAAGCAGTACAGTATTTAGGTCAGCTTTTCTTCACTGTCCTTTTGTGCTTGTGCCTCCTGTTCCTGGCATTTCCCAATTGCTGCAGGTCCTCTTTTCAGACTTGGAGCGTGTCAGCCTTCGTTGTGATGCTTGATGTTCTGCTGCTGTCCTGTTCTGCTTTAAAATGCCTGACCCATTTTCTATATTGTCATCCTGTACCACTAGTAAAGACAAAAGGCTGGCAAAATTCAAATAGAGTCTGTCAGAGATGTACATAACTAGACTGGTTTTAACTGGTCGAGTGTAGAGTGGGCAGTCTGAATTCTCCATTGGTTGGAGTGATCTGTAGTTTGATGTCTAGTTTGCAAGCCTGGTGAAGGTGCAGAGAGCATCACCATCGAGCAGAAGAGAAGGTTAGCCCCGAGAAACTTTCTTCAGGTTCTCAAATCACTTGCTGCTATTTCCAGATGTGTATGAATGTTGACGTGGAACTCTGGATTGGAGTGGATTCTCTGTTGTAGGAGAGGGGAAAGGATAAACTATGGGGTATGTAAAATGAACTGTGTGTTGCTCTCCTGCAGTTAATCTTTTTTTCAGTGTTAGAACTTCTGAGTTGGTATTTCCAGGATGAAGTGTTCTTTTGCAAATACAGTTTTGCAGACAAAACATTCTTAATGGGATAAGTGATGCATCTCTTGAGTCATAAAGCTTGTGCCTTCGATTCAGGTACACTTTTAAACTGTTTCCCAGGTAGCATGGAATTTGCTTGTGTAGCAGAACAACGATTTATTTATTTATTTAAAATCTATTCCGTTCCACTATTGAGGCGAGTCTTATCCTCAGCTTGGCCATCAGTTATGCCTTCTCTTCCATCTCCCATGGCTGACGGTCCCACTCTTCATATAAAAATTCCTCCTGGGATTTCATTCTAACATGTGAAATGGAACTTGTCTGTTACCAACTGGCCTGATAGTTGTTTATGCGGATTTTTTTAATCTTCCTGGAGAGGAAGGTCTTGAAACTTTGGAAAGAAATTGAAGCTCAGATTAGTTCTTCTGCAAGGAAGAGGAGAATATTTTTAAAGAAAACAAGAAAAAAAAAAAAGAAAACAAACCAGCAGCAGCGGTCTCTTCATCACATTGCTTTTGTTATCAGTATTTGTCTTTTCTGACAAGGTTAGACTGTTCTCTAGGAACATTTTTCTTGAGTTTGAAAATCGGTTAGCATGATGTCTGTATAACAGCTGTAGAAGAAATTTATTTAAGCAAATGTTTTTGTATTGTCTTTTCTCTTATTAGGAAGTTCTTTCTGGAGTCGTGGTCATAACAAGTAAGGACACAGTCCAGCACCAAGGTATCTCGTTAACAATGGAAGGATCGGTAAATCTGCAGCTTAGTGCCAAAAGTGTGGGTGTGTTCGAAGCTTTCTATAACTCTGTCAAGGTAAGACCTGTACGTGTTAATATTTTAGCACAAAACCTTTGTCTCTCTTATCAAATTAAATCTTTCCTTAATAGCTCTCAGGTAGTTATAGCACTTCATGGTATGTAAATGATAGAAAGCAGAGAAATGCTCGGCATTATCCAGTAATATATGATGACATTTTGGGGGAGGAACTTGCACCAATTGGAGAGGGTTTTTTAGGGCTGAAGTACAGTAACATAAATGGTATGGTTACTGGATGATGCATTGAAGGACTGTGATTTAAAGAAAAATAATAAATTGTGATTTTTTTTTTATTTTTTTTTTTTTTTTTACATGACTGGATTTAATTGGACTTTTGTGCCAGATCAGTCACTATCACAATAGTTTCTGCGGAGGCCATTGAGGTTGCGTGTTATTAGGCATGACACAGGACCTGCACAGATTTTTCTGTGGAGTATGAGGCTGTGCACAGACTGACTGCAGAGCTCCTGGAAGGCCTCTGTACTGCTCTCCAGGTTTGGAAGTGTAGGGTTTGGAATATAGCAGAGCAGGTTATCTCGGGCTGCACACAAACGTGGCTGTACTGATTGAAGCAAGGCTGTCTCTGTCTAGAGGCAGTGTAGCTAATGGTTTGCTTAAGTTAGGACAGCCTTGGTGCAGGGCCTTCCAAGGTCTTCACTTGTATCATAGTGAATTTGTTTATGGTGTGAATAATCTGTCCATGAATGAAAAACAGTAGAAGCGATAGATTTTCTTTCTCCTGTCTATCAGGGGGAAAAAGAACAGTAAAACTCCAGAGAGAAAAGAAGTGTAATCTTCAAGCAGGCTTCCTCCCTTGAATTGTGGTTAACCATTGTTCCAGTGAGAGCCTAGCCCTAAATATAGATCTTTAGGGTGGGAAACGGCCAGGGAGAATATAGGAGGGAATGACTAACTGCTCAACTGGCATACATACTTGTTGATTCCTGCTCCTACTATTAAGGGTCATAATGTAGCAGATGGAACTCCACTTTCCAGAGTGCTTGAGACTCTGCTGTTTAGCTGTCTAAATATGTTTGGTCATTAGTATAATACAACCATGAAATAGATCACAAATTGTTTTCCTGAGGAAAGCATTCTTAGTATTTCTTTTCGTTGTAAGACTGGAGAGCTGTGTGTCGTGAAGAAATACCTGAGTTTCTGGAAATTCAGGAAGTCTGTTAGAGGTTAGTGGATGTTGTTGGTTCTTGAAATGATGGGGCTGTCATTCTGCTTCAACCTGAACCTCTTACTGTTTATCTTTGCAGCCTATTCAGATTATTAACAGCACTATTGAAATGGTAAAACCAGGGAAACTTCCCAGTGGCAAGACAGAAATTCCATTTGAATTTCCATTGAATATGAAGGGGAACAAAGTTCTGTATGAGACGTATCACGGTGTCTTTGTTAATATTCAGGTAAGGCAGTCGTATCTGTAAAGAAAATCTGAACTTTTGTTATCTGCAGAATGTATTCTTAAAGCGTCTTTTATTCCATGGAAGCAGAGGCTAAAGTTTTGTGATAAAGTTTTCTTTTCATGGTGCAATATGTTTTATTTTCTCAATTTGAAGAATGAGCAGAAAGTTTTGAGATCCTTTGAAGTAAGTAGCTTTTAAGCTTCCCTTTATTAATATAGCATTTTTCTGGTGTGTACTGTGTTTTCTGGATATAACTTAAGATTAAAATTCATGACACATGTTAATCTTTTAGGTGCTAGTTTGTAGGTAGCTTCTAGTTGCCTTTTTCAGTTCCAGTGCACCTAGGAGTCAACACTTTCCACAGGTGGTAACACTTCTTAAATGTGGCAAAGGAACCATCCTGAGACCTTGGAATCCCATCTATATAATGCTGCTTTTAAAAAAATTTCTGAACACCTGTTCCCTTTTCTTTTCCAGCAAGTTTAAGCTTTTCATTGGAAATAGTTGATGCTAATGAAACGTGGGACGTACAAGAGAGAATTAAAAGCATACTGGGAAGAGGGTCTTTGGGTTGAGAAAGGATAAGATGTATTTGCCACACTTGTTAAATCTTGTACAGATCTCTTACAGGGTGATGTTTTCATCCAGTTCTGATTTTATTGTGAAAAAAGTTGCATTTACCCTTTCGTAGATAATCTGTGTAGTGGTACATAGCCAGATACAAGTGTGTGTACTGTTAACCTAGTACCAGTAAGACATTAGAATCATGGAATCGTAGAATTGTTTGGGTTGGAAACCTTTAAGTTCACCAAGTCCAACTGTAAACATAACACTGCCAAGACCACCACTAAACCATGTATTGTGAAAAAAGTTGCATTTACCCTTTCGTAGATAATCTGTGTAGTGGTACATAGCCAGATACAAGTGTGTGTACTGTTAACCTAGTACCAGTAAGACATTAGAATCATGGAATCGTAGAATTGTTTGGGTTGGAAACCTTTAAGTTCACCAAGTCCAACTGTAAACATAACACTGCCAAGACCACCACTAAACCATGTCCATGAGCGCCACGTCTACATGTCTTTTAAATACCTCCAGGGATGGTGACTCCACCACTTCCTCAGGCAGCCTCTTCCAATGCTTGACAACCCTTTAGGTGAAAAAATTTTTCCTAATGTCCAATCTAAACCTCCCATGGTGCAACTTGAGGCCATCTCCTCTCGTCTTGTCGCTTCTTCCTTAGGAGAAGAGACCAACCCCCACCTCACTACAGCCTCCTCTCAGGTAGCTGTAGAGAGCAATAAGGTCTCCCCTCAGCCTCCTCTTCTCCAGGCTGAACAGCCCCAGTTCCCTCAGCCGCTCCTCATCAGACCTGCTCTCCAGACCCTTCACGAGCTTCTGGACACACTCCAGCGCCTCAACATCCTTCTTGTAGTGAGGGGCCCAAAACTGCACACAGTATTCAAGGTGCTGCCTCCCCAGTGCCAAGTACAGAGAGACAATCACCTCCCTACTCCTGCTGGCCACGCTGCTCCTGATACAGGCCAGGATGCTGTCGGCCTTCTTGGCCACCTGGGCGCACTGCTGGCTCATGTTCAGCCACCTGTGGACCAGCACCCCCAGGTCCTTTTCTGCCAGGCAGCTTTCCAGCCACCCATCCCCAAGCCTGTAGCGCTGCATGGGGTTGTGACCCAAGCGCAGGACCCAGCACTTGGTCTTGTCTGGACCTTGTACTATTGGCCTTGGCCCATCGATCCAACCTGTCCAGGTCCCTCTGTAGAGCCTTCCTACCCTTGAGCAGATCAACTTTTTTAGCATAGTAGGCAACCAATTACTTAAATATTAAAAACAAAGTGTACTGACTTACCAGATTCATTTTAAGACACAGGGGTGAGTCCTACAGGAACAAAGCAATCTAGTGTTCAGAGTCTGTTTTCCTGCATTCATTTGGGAGAAGTGTCCTCTAATTAGCAGAAACCTTTCTGTCGCTTACTGTTTCAGGCCTTCCATATCAAGTAAATCTTTAAAGAATGATGGAATAAACAGAACAGTAACAAGATATCTTACCTGAAATACTTTGTCAGAACTACTGTAACATATATCTGATCCCTTCTTATGTTGTAGAGAACTAAATCCATTCCCTTTATGAAAAAGACTGCACCACAGTGTCCTTTTGTTCAAAACTAATGTGGCTGTGTAATTTCATAATGAAGACTTAAACCACAGTATTTGAGAGCTTGTAGCATCTTCAAAAACATGAATTGTTTGCTTTCCTGTGGAGATGAGTAGTAACACTTCCTGCCCAAATCTGTACATACTACGTGCTTGTAACAGAATCTTGTGGAAACACTATTTTGAAATTTGACCTTTTTAGTTTAAAAATGTCTTACCATAGGTAGGTTCATTTGTTTGGGTTGGTTTTGTGTTTTTTTGAAGGAAAGTCTTTCTTCAGCTATCTCTTGAATGTAAATACTGTGTTAGACAATGCTTTTTCTTACTGAGGAGTGTTTTTTGGTTTGGGTTTTCCTTTTTCTTCAAGGAAAAAGTTGAAGGAGTCACTGTATGCAAAAATTTTCAGACCAGGGCTGGTGAGGAATCACTGGGTTGTAAAACTTCCCCCCCACCCCCACTTGTAGCTCACTGATGCGAGTATTGGATTTGATCACGAAGTATAAAACTGTTAGCTGTTTAGCTAAACTGGAAGTCTTATATTACAGTCTGGGATTTAAAAAAAACCCCTAACAAACAAATCAAAAAGCTACAAAACCTCCCCACATACTAGCCTATCAGAAGTAACTAAAAGAAAAATTCCCATGTTTTTTATCTACATTCAGGTGTTACTCTAAGTACTTCCCATGTCTTTTTTCAGTCTTGGCTTTCTTCCTAATGTAGTATCTGTTGTTTGTAGTAAGTATGTCAAAAATGGTGCAAAACTGGTTGAGTTGCTCTCCATAATCCAGATAACTTGCCTATGATCAAGATCAGTTGTTTTACGGTATCCTTTATTGGTGACTATTTGTTGTGGTTTGTCGTTCCCTCTCTCATGTATGTAGCTTCTCTTTACAAGCTGGGGATAAAATGTAATTAAAAGGTTAATCATTCAATTTCAGCCAACCTTTGGGAGTCCTGCTTTCCTGAAGAGGAAAACGTAGTGCTGAGATGCTGTTTTAAGAAACACTTCCTAGACCTCTGTCCAAGTCCTGTGCAGTTTCAAAGCAAGACTGTTTCTTGACCTAGGTATTAGTATATTAGCTGGGGGTTCAGTATCAAGATTCAAGTCTCTGTTCTCACGCAGAGACCTTCTAATTAGACGCTGATGGGGAAGCTGCGGGCCAAATTGCAAGGGCTGTGTGGTCCTGCTGCCTCATTGCACTGTGTTCCCTGGTCTGGGTGAGGTGTAGTGCAGTAATAGAAGGTTTACTCAACAGGCATCAACTTCAGCAGAAACCATGGTCTGTGATGGGGAAAGAGATAGGCTCCCTGGTCTCGCTCTTGCATGCACGTTCAGGTTATGTGCAGGGAGACACCGTCGACTAGAAGTTATGAAGCTGGGTCCCTAGTCTGAGTGCCAACTCCTCATCTGTAAAGAAGGAATTAAAAACAAAACAAAAAGACAAAAAAACCCACCCCAACAAATTCCCTGTCTCGTAAGGACACTGAAAGGCTATGCTATAGATGCTGAAGTGTATGATTACTGTGATAACCAAGGTCATACTTTTTTCAGTCGTTCGTTTATGGTTCCCCTTTCAGGGGAGAAAGCAGGGGAAATTGGCAGCAAGTTTTGGAACATTGAACAGCAAAATTAACCTTGTTACGTGACTTTACTGCACGCTGCTGCTTTTAAGTTCAGCTATATGGTTTAAGACAGTTCTCCATTAAATATGCGTATAACTGTTACCACTGGTAAATTCAATTGTACAATAAATTTAAAATTTATTTTACTGTGAATATATCTTACTGATAATCACTTACCCAAAGGGTGGTGAAAAGCAATACCGTGATCGCTCTTCACTGAATGTCATTTGGGTGCTGAAGCCGTACAAGAATGCTGCTCTCTCAGTGAATTAGTCCCTCGATCTCATCGGTTGTTATGTAGCACAGAAGGTATGGAAAGCATTTGCAAATGATTGTGGGACTGTAAACACAAAGAAAAATTAGCTTTCATTTGGGAGCATCTAAAATCATTGTATGCCTCTTATCTCCTTCCCCTCTTCCCATCACTGGTATGTACGTTGCCTACTAATCTGTTTTAAACAATGTGTTAAGTATTAATAACAGTAACAGTCTGCACACATGCAATAAAAAGATAAGAAGTTAAGAGAGGTAGAGGGAAGCTTAACTAAGGCTCTCTTCATTTTCTCTGCTATCCTGTTCCCGCCAGTATACCCTGCGGTGTGATATGCGACGTTCCTTGCTGGCAAAAGACCTAACTAAGACTTGTGAATTCATTGTCCACTCGCTGGTAAGTGTTGTTTGTATTAACTATACAAAGTGAGGTTTTTTTTTTTTAATTTTTTTTTTCCACTTTCAGTGAAGTTTGGCAGTAAGGTTAGAGAAACCAAGTAAAACCATATAATTTGTAATTGCAGTACAGGGGATATGTATGAGCAAAGGAAGTTAGTCTCAAAACAAAAACATCCAGAAGAGCTAGAGTGTCAGTTGCTTTCGATGAGAATAACACATCTCTCTTTTCATGTAAAGAAAATAGTACAAGGAGGATTTGGATTCTAAGATGTTTTTATACTGCACTGAGTTTATTCTGTTACTCATCCTTTCAGTCCTGAAACAATGGTGTGGTTAGATAAATATTACAGTGTTCCTCTAAACACTGTTTCGGGTTATCTGAGCATTTCTTAGTCAAAGGTTCCAGTCACCCACAATGCCTGTCCTAGAAGTGGGAGTTGGTTGGTGAAGAGAAAGTATCTGATTTCTGTTCTTCAGATGACTAATTATGATTTAGAGCTCTGACTCAAAGTATCAAAGCTGGGACTGCATCAAGTTGGAAATAAGAAGCTTGTCAGCTTAATCACCTTTGCTATTAAGTAAGCCCGTGGTTGGCAATAGGCTAAGATAACTGGGTTAACAAATATCCCCATCCTGAGGTTAGCAACATGAAAACAGCCTTCCTCCTGTGGAGACAATGTCGTGGGATGAAATTTGACTGTCTCACAAGAGATGCTTTGCTACTAGTTATTTGAAGTTCCTGTATCAGATGGGGTTTTAGTTTATATTGACTTGTATGCATGTCCAGTGCATCTGATGTCAGTACAGACTGTGCAGGCCTAATTAAGTATCTCTTTTTCCACCCACAACTTGCTAGAACATACTGTTTGTACCATTCCTTTGTACTCTAACAGGACAGTAAATTATTAGACTCTTTTGTCTTACTTATGAATAATGGTAGAAATATGTTGGGTTTAGTTCTATGGTACCCTTTTTAAAGATTTAGCAAGGTGCTATAAAGAAGTTTCCTGTTGGTAAGATTTCATTATTTTCTAAAGTATATAATGCAACGTTTTATTGGTCCATTATTACATTATAAGTAAGCCACACTTGTCAAAATAGTGAACAAATTACGTATTATGCAGTTTCTTGGTTTTATTTCTTGTTCCCACCACAGCACTTCTTAGATCACAAGTCAGTAAATCATGGATCTCTCAGTCAGGGTGAATTAATGAGGTTTTACTGAACATATAATTCTCGCTGTCAGTGCTCAATGTACCGTTTCCCTTAACCTTATTCTTTGCCAGAATTTGTCATTTATGGGAAAATACAGTCAATCTTTTGCTAATATCTTCCATCTTGCCGCTGGGCAGCAGAAGCTATTTTGAATTCTTAAGTAGTGAGGGTAGATCCTAACTAAGGGTTCAAGCTAAGCCCATTGGTCGTGGTGGTGTGGTCTGCCAACTCCCAGTTACATGCAATTGGGGGCCTCATAATTGACGCTGTGCTGGCCACTTACTCTAAATACGTAGGGAAAAGACAGCGCACCTCACTGAGATAAGGCTGGAGAGAGGTCGGTGAGCAGTAAGGGAAGCTTGCCTTGCTGATGCAGAGTACAGGCTGCCATCTCAGCAGAGCTCAGGGCTTGTTCAGCCACTTACGGAGAGACTTAACTACTTGGTTTTGTGATAAATGGTGCAAATAGATACAGAAGAACTGTAATAATGTGCCCCCAAAATTGCTTCTCTAGTGTGGAAGGCTAACCTGGACCAAGTTTTGTTTATTTTACAGTCAAAGAAGCTGGAATGCTAAGCCCACTAAATCAACACTACACTAGATTTTATCAGCTGAGGATCTCCTAGTAATATGAGGATGGCTTAGGAGACCTGAGCTGGTATTGGAAGGGCAGCAGAAAATGTTTAAAGTGCTCAGAGATAACAAGAGGGAGGGAGAGTTTATAAAACATATTTGAAGCAATGAAGCAAGTTCATTTATAGTCTTCCCCTCTCTCCCCTGCCCAAACTTCCTTTTTTCCATTAATTTTGAATTTTCCATTAATAATGAAAGGAAACTTTGAGAGTGACACAAGAAATGTAGTTATTTGTAAATACAGCAATGTGAAACTAACTTTTTTCTATAGCATACCATATGCTTCAGGTAGGTAGTGTATTTCTTCTTTTCCAGGTGTTTTAGTCAACCACATGCTTTGTTTTTGTTTTCTCCTCTTTTATTTTTTTTTTTCCCCAATGTAGGTAGAGCTTATGTCAAAAACTTACAAAGGGAGAGGGTGTTGTGGTTTATTGCAATGGCAAATGCAAAGTAATGAAAAATTGACACAGTTCTGTTTCTGCAATTCAGATTTGTGATGCATTGTGAGTTGTATTTCGACAAAATAACAATGTTATTTAATAACAAAGGCAGACAATCTCAGGTGTTTTATTACATAGATGCATACTTTCAGTATGAAGACAATCCTGGAACTAACACATCCAACAGTTGCTTGACTTTGTCTTTTTTTTAATATTCTCTCTGTGTGTTTTATAAAGCATAGTTTACGGTTTAACTCTTTTCATTACTTGTAGTCACAGAAAGGGAAACTGATGCCAAGCCCAGTAGATTTCACAATTACTCCTGAAACTTTGCAAAATGTTAAAGAGGTAAGGGTTTTCTTGTTATTTTAAGTGTAATGCTTGTGTGATTCTGAGTGAGAACAAGAGAGGAATGGCTAAATGCTGCCCTGCAGATAATCAGCTCTCTTTTTTTTTTTTTTCCTCATTTTCTCCTTTTTTACTTTTATAAGCAATAAAATGATTCTGCCTGATCTCTTGTGATAGTGGTGACTAATATAAGGTGGAACTTTAAGTAATGGTTCAACATTTTTATCACTTTTCTGAGTGAAAGGTGGTGGTGAAGCAAGGGAAGACGCTCTATACCACATGTAGCCAAGATCCTTTTAAAAAAGGGTATTTTGTTCCTTGGTTATGCCTTGTTTTACAGCCCCATGTGGCTTTGGGAAGTCTGTATGAACAGTAGTAGCTGTCTTGGTCATTTAGCTTTCTGAGCACTGGTTTCTGTTTGTCCACTGAAACCTGTGTTCTGATTTTATAGATTTTTCTGTTGTGTTCTTTTTGTTAATAAGACTGCTTGCCTGTTTGAGGTCTGGCTTTTGCATCCCCAACTTGTCTTCCATTGCTCTAGTCCCCGTCTTCTGAATTTAGACCTGCTCTTCCACTTGTTTCTCAAAACAGACCTCTTAATCAGCTGTTTGGTTTTTTTCATGCTATGGTTGACCTTATTCGGCATATTCACAGAATCATTGTGGTTGGAGGGGACCTCTGGAGATTGGCTAATCTGGCCCCTGGGCTCAGAGCATAGTCATCTAGAGGAGGTTACTCAGGGCCATGTGTAGTCAAGTTTTCAGTATCTCAAAGAATGGAGACTTGCAAGCACCCTGCAATGTTAGTGTTTGACCAGACTCACAGGATTAAAAAATAAATAAAACCCCTTAAAAGTAGTTTCTTTTATTTCGATGTGTTCTGTAGCCTCTTGTCCTTCCACTGGATACCACTGAGAGGAGTCTGACTCCATCTCCTTTATTCCTTCCTATCAGGTATTTAGACATATTGATAAAATCCCCCTGAGCCTTTGGTTCTGCAGGGTGAAGAGTCCCAGCTCTCCGCCTCTTGCTGCCTTACCCTTAACCATCTTCATGGCCAAATCCAGCACAAGCTGGACTTGCTTCAGTAATTCTGTGTTTCTTGTACCGGGAAGCTGTGAACTGGACGCACAATCCTCAGTTTTGTCTCACCCGTGCTGAAGAGATGGGGAGAATCACTTCCCTCAACCCATTGTCAACACTTTCTGTAACGCAGCTCAGGATGCTGTAGGCCCCTTTGTCCAGCCTGCTGAGGTCCCTGTGAAGGGCAGCGCAACTATCTGGTTCACCAACCACTCCCTCCAATTTTGTATTACCTGCAGACTTGCTGAGGATGCACTTTGTCCCATCATCCAAGCCATCACTGAAGATGTGAAGTAATATTGGCTCCAACATTGACCCAGTGTACACCAGTGACTGGCCTTCAGCTGGACTTTGTGCTGCTGATCACAAACCTTTGAGTCCAGCAGTTCAGGCTGTTCTCAGTCCACCGCAGTGTCTAATCTGTACATCTTGTCTGTACTCCATTAGTTTGTCAGTGAGGTTGTTAGGAGAAACAGTATCAACACCAGTGCTGAAGCCAAGATAAACAGTATCCTCTCCTCTCAGCTTGTCCACCAAGCTACTCCTTTCATCACAGAAGGCTATCTGGTTGGTTAAGCATGATTTCATTTTCATAAATCCATGCTGACTGCTTCCAATCGCTTTCTTGTCCTTTATATGTTTGGAAATAGCTTTTGGGGTTATTTGCTCCATTGCTTTCTCAGGGATATGAGAAAAGCAGATGAGCCTATAGTTCCTTGGATCTTCCTAACTGAAGATGGGTGGCCTTTGCTATCTTTCGTCCCTCAGGAACCTTCTTTGTTCATGTCAGCCTTTCCGAGATTTGCCTCACGGTGACGTGGGTCAGCCTCTTCAGCACTTGTGGGTGCGTCCCATCAAGTTCCATGGGCTTGTGTACCTCCAGTCTGTTTAAATGTTCTCTAACCTGCTCCTCCTCTACCAAGGATAACTTTTTCCTTGCTCCAGACTTTCCCTGTGGTTGCAGGGGCCTGGGATTCCTGAAGGCAAATCTTATCAGTAAAGCCTGAGGCAGAGAAGACATTAAGGACCTCTGTCTTTTTTCATGTCTTTTGTCACTAGGTCCCCTGCCATATTCAGTAGCAGGATGACATTTATCCTCATCTTCCTTTTGCAGCTGGTAGACTTGCAGACACCCCTTTTTGTTGCCCATCATGTCTCTTAACTCCAGGTAGGCTTTGGCTTTCCTGAAGCCATCCCTGCATGCTCTGATAGTATTTTTATATTCCTCCTGGGTCCCCTGACCCTACTTGTTATGTCTTTTGTGTACTTCCTTTTTGTGATTTTTATCAGTAGCATCTTGTTCATCCCTGCAGGACCTCTTCCTACCTTTGCTTGACTTTCTGCGTGTTGGAATAGATCATTCTTGAGCGTGGAGGAGGTGATTCTAGAAAACCAACCAGCTGTCATGGCTGAACTGTAAATCCAGCTGAGTTAGAGGATGAGCACGTTGTGTCCAGCACCCTCTTACATCTCTGGAGGCTGCTGCATGCTGAAAGCATGTTTTTCCAAATCTAAGGCTATAATAACTATTCTTAGCGGTAAAATTCGTTTTGAGACTACTGGTAAGTACTAAGCTCTCAGCAGTCTGCTGCTCTTATGAAGCACGTTTCCATATAAATGACTTTGTTCCTTCTTTCTCTTCTGTCTCTTGATACTCTACTACTTGGCTTAGCAAAGACTCAGTGATGCACATCATGAGAAAGTCCTGTCCTTTACCAGGTCTTTCTTAATAGCAGGCCTTGTGCCTTTCTCTGTTTCAACATAGAGAAAGTACAAACCTACAAAAGTAGGTTCTAAAACTTCTGACATCTCTGATCCAGCAGATCTTGGTATTTAATTGTGGAGCTATCTAAAGAATGGTATTGAATGTGTGTGGTAGCACAAGCAGTGGGCTTTTTTTTGTTTTGTCGGGTTTTTTTTTCTTCTGTTCATCTCCCTGTGACTCAGAAGAATGCATAGGTTTGAGGTTACTACTTGATGGACAGGTGGAAAAAGTCACTGTTTTGGTATATTTAAAATACTAAAATTTCAATTCTCTGCTTGTCTGGAGATTGTGACTGAACTGTAATTTCTGGTAGACTACTAGAAAACTGATTATGAGTTTGCAGTAGCTAAGCAAAGCACAAAGAAGTTGGATGAAAAACCGGGATAGATTTGCTGGTATGTTCTTGATTCTTGGGTTTTTTCGAGGATTATGAAATACGGTGTAAATGATAGGTCCTATGAGAGAAGACCTAGCTAGGATTAAAATATGAAGATATTGGGAAGAGTAGTAAGGCGGGATCATACAATAAAAAAGCATTTTACTAATAGGTCATTAGGACTCAATATTTCATAGGGTGATTTTGTCAGGGATGTAATTTCTGCTATTTAAGTTAGGAGAAAAAAAACAAGTGAGGTCATGTTTACTAAACACACAAAAATTTGTCTCTTTATTTCCCCCCAACATTTGTTTTGAGTGGAACAGCTAAATTCTGCAGAGGTGTTGGGTATCTGAGTGAAACGGTCTGAACAATAGCTGAGGAGAAATTTTCTGCCATTGCTGCTGGCAGCCAGGACTAAGAAGCAAAACAAACAGATTGGCAGAAACAAAGTTTGCGACAAGAGAGCTGGTTTGGAAGAAGGGAGAATCAGTTACATGGGGAAGGAAATCGTACACCATGAGCAAATGTGAACAGATGGTTGGAAGGTAGGGGCTAACATCAAAGGTGTCAATAACAAAAAATTAAGGAGGGGGAGGAGAGAAGAATAAGGCTCACAAAAGAAGGGGAAGGTTAGAGCAGGATGCTCAAAGAGTTTGAAGAAAGTTGGATAGTGAAGATAGGAGCTGAAGATGTGGGCAGAAAACTTGACTGTTTCAGTATGCCTCCTGCCAGAACTTGAAATGTAACTGGAGCTTCTGGCGTATGAGTCTCCCTGCTGGCAGAGAGTATCTGTGATGCCTGCTGGCCTGAAAAAGGGGAGGGCAGGGGGAGCAAAACCCCCGCTTCAGTCTTTTATGGAAACCGATTTATAGACTATCATCCTCCTTCAGCTGCTCTTACTGCTCCTTCCTTAAGAAGCAGCAAACATGCTTGCTGTTAAGGAAGCTTTAAAAGTGTGATGCTGTATTCAAATTAAGCTCTTTATTAATTGTCCTTAATTGGCGTCTTGGTACATAAGCAGTATGCTACATCTTGCATTAAGTGAAGACTTTTAAATGCCTGTCTTCCCTCCCAACAGTGGCCATGAGAGAGACATTTTAAAAGGTAGAAAAATCACTAAAGTAATGGACTGTATTGTAATCCATAGCAAAAGGGGACTAGGATGCAGTTCTCTAGAGCACCGCCAGCTCATTTAACTTGACCATCCTGTTCGTTCCTGCCAGCTACCTCCTCAACCAGGCCGTTCCTAACTTCTGGATTCATTGTAATAGCCAAGTTTTGGCAGTTCATCCCAGGAAAAACACTCCTGTGGATGGAATGAGTAGGGGGGATGTATGTCGGAGGAGGGTAGTAAGAGATATCTTCATGCATCTGCGTAAGGATGCATAGTTAAAGCGTTACGTTATTTAAGTTACTCGAGGCGTTTCTGAACTTTAGAGCTCTTAACTTTGCAACTTTTGGGGATTTCCTATATACTTTGATAACTGTCTTGTTGTAAGGTGGGGTTTTTTTCTTAATCTGCTCCTACAGTAGTGTCTCTTTTTTTTTTTCTCCCCTCCCTCCCCATCCTTTCAGAGAGCTTCACTTCCAAAATTTCTCATCAGAGGTCATCTCAGTTCCACAAACTGTATTATCACGCAGCCACTAACAGGGGAGCTGGTAGTGGAGAGTGCAGAGGCTGCAGTCAAAAGCATCGAGCTGCAGTTAGTTCGGGTGGAAACCTGTGGTAAGTTTCTCCGTAAAGGGGACGCGTGCGGACGGCCGTAATTGCCGACTGCGCTCTTTCAGCGTACATATGAGACACTGTCAAAAGCCGTACGATTAAAAAGCCTTCCCAAAAACTGTTCGGCCCTTCAGGCGGAACAGTCTAAAGATTCATGTAAATAACCGCTACGATCCTTGACTCCGCGTGCTAATGAGAAAACTTGCAGGTCAAAGGGCAAGATGTTTTGCCCGCACACACTTCCCCCCCCCAGCCCCAGGGTATCTTTGTTTTAAACGTTGGCCACTGCCTTCTCTTCTCTCTTCCCCTCCCCCTCCTCTCCCTCTGAACTACCCGCTCTCCCCAGGGTGCGCGGAAGGTTACGCCAGAGATGCCACAGAGATACAGAATATTCAGATCGCTGATGGGGATGTCTGCAGGGGCCTACCAATTCCTATCTACATGGTGTTTCCCAGGTTGTTCACCTGCCCTACCCTGGAAACAACAAACTTCAAAGTTGGTGAGTGTGTAGGACTGTACGGCGTGTTGGCGTCTTGCACCTGAGAGGAGTTTCTAGTTTCGCTGTAGCTTCTGGCAGGTAGCAGGGTAAATCGCTGACCGCACTGCAAGAGGAACCAAGGACATCCATCTGTTTCCCTGTAGAGGTTTCCTGAACAGGATTGCAGTCTGCTGTATTTCATATCGATTGAGAAAATACAGCCCCAATACTTCTAACTACAAACAGTTGTGCAACTCTTGAGCTACTTCTGACTAATAGAATTATGTTAGGGGGACAGCAGAAGCAGTGTAATGGCAGGTAATAAATATTTTTCTGCCAAAACATTACGTATGATTAAACACACGAGTAATAGCCCAAGAATAAAATGCCAAGATGATCTCTTCCTTCTTTTCATCTCTGGTGAGAACCCTCTTTCCATTCCCACTCCTTCGTGTTTCCCATTCTCCTGCAGAAGTAGAAGCAGCAAGGTCAGGCTGCGTGTGACTTTGCTTTTCTACGTCTACACCAGCTGCTTCTTCCTGCTTACTGTTGCCAACATCCAACACTTTCCTAAACAAGCACCTGAAATTTAGGACTTTCCTCACTTGTTCAAATAATTACTGCAAAAATCTCTTTGCTAGCCTGTGTTTTTCTTCCTTTCATCCTGCTGGAATTTGTTGGTTCTTCTTTTTTTTTTAATTTTGTTGTATCAGATTGAAGCTCCAAGTCCCTGCCTTCAGGATCCTTCCCAACTGAAGCCCCTCCCATGCTTCTGCTGTACACCTTGGACAAGCGCGCACAACTAGCCTTTCAGCTCTACCTGTTTATCTGTCCCCCAAGAGTATTTTTGCACCTGATGTGTACAGTGACTTTCCCCAAAATAGTATTCTGCTCTACTTTTTTGCCATTTCTAGCTATTGAATAGTCATTTACAGTGACAAATGGCTACTGTTAGTGTAGTACCTACTTTTATTTATAAGAACAGTCTTAATGTAGTTAAGAAGATTCTAAAAAAAGACAGTTAGTTTCAGTTTTTCATCTCTGGCTCTCTTAATTTATTAACTCTGACTTTGTATTCCATCTCCATTTAGGATTGCTTATAGATCTGATACCGATTTTGGTTCTGAACAACACCATATAATATCGAAAGAGTAGATTTTCTTTTAATTTTTTTTTTTTCCATAGTTTCCAGGTATATTGTATTCTGATGTTTAATTTCATAAGGCAGGATTTGAAGGCGGTGGTACATGCTTACAGCAGGGGAGGGGTCTGTTCCCAACTCATCCACTTCCATGCTTCTAAACAGCGTATATTGGTGCGAGGGGTCTTTCCCGAGACGTTTTGATCTCAGATGTCTGAGCCCTGCCTGTTGGCCCGAACAGCGTATGTCATAGTTTTTCAGTGACACGGAAATGAATCCAGAGGAGTGCCAAAGATTAAACTGAGCCAAGGGTCTCTAGGAACGGCCCAAGGTCTGGTTCTGCCTCGATTACCATGTTCACCCCTGCCACAAGAAAATCCAGGGTACTGGAACAGCTTGGAAGAGCCTGGCAAAGTGCCGTGTCTGAGAGCAGGAGCTGCCTGCCTCTCGCCCTGCTGATGCCAGTCGGATTCATACGGAATTCTTATTTTCTTCCCCCACCCCTCTTCTTACAGAGTTTGAAGTTAACATTGTTGTCCTGCTGCATGATGATCACCTCATCACAGAGAACTTCCCGCTGAAGCTGTGCAGGATGTAAACGGCCAGAGGAGACTCACTTAAGGATTTACTGGAAAAGGACAAAATTCTTCAGAGGCAGAGTGAAACTTTAACCGTGTCTTATTTTAACTGAAAACACATCACTTCCTTCTTCCTGCTGGTAGCTCTTGTGCTTTCAGTTCTCTGTGAATCTTGGAAAGACTTTACCTGCCCTGCGATAGCCTACATGGATGTGTCTATCCAGCCAGCCTTGTCAGGTGTGTTTCCGACTGCCACAGCCATGTTTTCCTTTGGCAAACCCTGAAGGAATGATTCTGTGTATTTCTACAACTTGTAGAAAGGGGTAGTAAGTAAGTTTCTCTCCTTATTTCATTTTGTAATACTTGTTCCAAAGTGAGTCTTTTAAACACCCCTTAAAGCTAGTACGTCCTGTTACACATGGTCTGTCTGTACTGGGGGGGGGAGGGTACGGGACTTGTACTGTAACACTGAATGGTGCCTTTGAAGGTGTAGTACGATGGTGCTATAACAATGCAATACAGCAATGCAAGGTGGTGTTGGGGGGGGCGGTGAGTATTGCAAGATGCATGTGAAATAAGTGATGTGAAATAACACCAAGTGTATTGGTCAAACTGGGAATATGAGTCTGTATGGGAGGAATGCTTAGAACTGAAGTTGTTTTGCATGTGGTTTCTCCCTGGGCTCTTCCCTGGATTAGAAAAATGATGCCCTTACTTTATCTCTGCAATTTGTGTAAAATAGCACTGTAAAAGAAAATCAGGCAGAATTTTTTTAGTTTGAGAATACACTTACTCTGTGCATTATAGTCTTCCCTTTTATAAGACTTCTATAGCTCTGTTATGTGATAAACAGGACTGCTGAGTTGTGGCAGACCAGCCTATGCTGCTGGTGAAAAACAGCATTAAAAAACTTCTCTGCTGTGGCACATTGTGCCTTTAGGATGTGACTTCCCATTATATGAATAACCACTGCAAGGGAGACAGTCTCCGTTTTTATATTGTCACTTGTTCAACGTAAAGTATAAATGTAAATGCCAGGAAAGGGGTAAGTTAAGGTAAATACACTAAAGTGTTTGTAACTGTACATCTTACAGGAACTACATAGGAAATT